CATACACATATATTTAGACACGTGCATGCAGACATGTGGAAAGCGATTTTCCGGACTGCTGACGACAACTGTATGGAGCTGTGTCGAAAGTCTCGTGGCGCTACTTTTGTCGCATACGTGACGTAGAGTCCTAGATATCAGAGAAGCGCAACCGGCTTAAGTCAGTATCGCAAAATTATTAAGAAAAGTACTAAAAATGGCGTCGTTTGCAGACATGTGCGTCGAAAGTGGCTCCTTCCTGCATTCTTTGTGGTGCGAAAAGTAGCCATTTTCCGACAACCTTGCGGGAAATGAAGACCGTACAGGAAATAACTAGACTGTGTGCGGAAAGTAGTCTCTTCCCGCACGGTCTGTGGAAAGTTACGTCACGTTAAGCCAGAAACACATAGAAAAACGTAAGGCCGTAAGACGTAATCAGTAAGGAAATCGTAACATTGGATTCGCTACCGGCCTTACGGTCTCTACTGTGATTGGCCAATTCGCTTACTGATTACGTTTTACGGCCTTACGTTTTTGTATGTGCCATGGGCTTTAGAGTCCTGGGTGCGTTCCGAGTCGCGCATGAAGCGTGTGGACTGCAATACTGATGCACAACACTTTGAAATTGTTCCATTTTTTCAATGCGCGCATAACACGCATGAAGCGCTTATGAATTCGGACCGGTTTCCTGTGCGAGCTATGCGAGTTCAAGATGGACGCTATACAAGACGTCAATAAACAATTTCTAATAATTGTAATTTCTTCTTTAATACTTTTAAAGAAAAATGATGAAAGTTCCGATGACAGTTCCGACTCGAGCGATAGTGAAAATAAAGTCGAAGGCATATCTCTAAGTGATACGCAGAAAATATTTTTTCTATTAATAGTAGATAAATCACGTGGAAAACAAATTGGAGTTGAAAAAATTATTGATTACGTCGATCGCGTAATTCCTAATTAATATAACGTCTAATCTATACATTAAATAAATCAAGGTAAAATAATATGCCATTAATTTTGATGAAAATATTCAACATAAATTAAAAGGGCGTAGTAAAAGTCAGAAGTAAATTACATTTAAAATAATTTAAAAATGTTAACATATTTACAATAGAAATATTACAAAAAATTGCTTAAAATTAAAAACATTATGCCAGTTACTTAAAATTAAAAACATGCTGCGCGTAACAATTGTTAAAATTAAAAACATGCTGCGCGTAACAATTGTTAAGCAATTTTTGTAATATTTCTATTGTAAATATGTTAACATTTTAATATTATTTTAAATGTAATTTACTTCTGACTCTTACTTCGCCCTTTTAATTTTTGTTGAATAATGCCATTAATTTTATCTTGGCTTATTTTCGCCATATCCTCTTCATTTAAAAATAAAATTAATACTTTATTTTTATTCTCTAATAAGACCGGGAAATCATGCAATTGCTGTAATCGCTGTTCCATCGCAAATCGCAAATATTCGTCCGTTCATTGTTGTATTGTCCGGTACTCGTTGCTCGTTCCGAATTACAAATCATGCGCATAGACCGCATGAACGCATCAGACGCATCAACTGCCTCAGGTCGAAAGAGAAGCAGTCAATGCGCTGAGTGGAGTGCTAAGAATTCAGTACGGTTGGTACAATCTGGGGAATTCAAGTACTCTCGAAGTGCTTTCGAAGCGCGCAATAGTTAATTCGGAACGACTTTCTATGCAGTCTACGCGCTTCATGCGTAACTCGGAACGCACCCTTAGACTCTAACGTGACGTAACTTTCCACAGACCGTGCGGGAAGTGACTACTTTCCGCACACAGTCTAGTTACTTCCCGCACGGTCTTCATTTTCCGCAAGGTTGTCAGAAAATGGCTACTTTTCGCACCGCAAAGAATGCAGGAAGGAGCCACTTTCGACGCACATGTAATGAAATAGTACATTGTGTAACGCGTGGGGGCTAGGGTTATGGCGCGAAGGGCGCGAAAGCACGAGCGAAGCGAGTGCGTATTCGCGCCCGTCCCGCTCTATAAACAATGTACCCTCACTAGTTACTCTTTACTCATAATATTTTTTGTCACGCGTTCGCGTAACAAAAAATATAATTTCAATTCGCAGCCCCTGAAGATTTCGCTTGCTCACAATTCTTGGCTCGGGTCAAGCTTTAACTATATACATATGGATTGTTAGTCCCTCATTTTTGCTATAGGAAATGCAATACTGTCGATGTCCTCGAACTGTAGTTGGCTGAAGATTGTTAGATTGTTAGACATGTTGACATGTTTTTGTCAGCAGACGTTGACAGCATGTCAGCAGATTGGAAGCAAAAACCGAACAGAGTCTGCTGACAATACAGACTCTGTCTACAATTTGTTGCCAATTTGCAATCGAACATTGTCAGCAGGTTCTGCTCCAAATCTGTTTCCGCAGGCTTTGCTATCAGGATATTTAATTATTATCGTACAAAACATCACAAGCCATCTCAACACACATATGCTCTCATGCACGCCACCTAATCTAAGGTATGGTATATAATACATGTATGATATTATGTACTATTCTACACCTTTTCTTGTTTAGAAACGTTAAACTTTCCACGCAAAGTAATTTTCACCCCTCCCCCTTGCACAGAGGCATAAACGACTTCTACGATTGTACTATTGCTGTGATTGTACTGTTGGAGCAAACCTCCACACACTGGGGGGGGGGGTACTTAATATCATACATGTATAATGGTACTGTTCGTTTTGTCTCTCGGGAGCTGCTCGGAGTTGCTCCGAACGAACCCAGTGTACTTGGATGTGATTAATTTAATGTTGTAAATATCTCGAAACATTCTTTGATTGATCAATACGTAAAATTCTTTCTTCTGATTGATCAACGAAGCATTTGCAGCATTAAATGAATTGTATCCAAGTACGCTGGGTTCGTTCGGAGCGACTCCGAGCAGCTCCCGAGAGACAAAACGAACAATACTCATGATATAAAGACAAGGGTATGATCGTCCGGTGGTAACCTGGTAACCCACTGCACATTTATCAAAAATAGAGGGGGTAAGCACGTGACTGTCACCAAGTTACGTCACATTCGATTTATTTCGGTTAATTACGGAGCGGTTCGAGTTCGGGTAATATGGCCGCAAAGTACGATCGCGAGCATAGTAAAGGTGCCTTTTCGCTAAATCGCTCGAATTTTAGCGACGAAACGCATCGATCGCTATTTTCTTTTTGGCGATCATGAAAATAGAATACGCGATGAAAAATAGCGATCAGTAGCGATTACGGACATTACGATTGATGTTATAATTCCTTTTGTTCCATATCAGAATGTTCTTTACTAGCCAAGTATAGCGAGTGGTATACATACAATCATACTATTCAATATATACAGGAATACCATGAGTGGCAAAGAAAAGGTTTCATAATAATGAAAAATCAAGAAGAGGTTAGGAAGAAACGATTGTTTAGCGCAGTATCTGGGCTTATGTCTGTAGATAGAAAAACATACAAAAAAAGAAGATTTTGGAGGACTCCTGTTTGTTCAAAACGGGAATTTTTACAAAATTTAAATTGTAGCGATCATCGCCTATTGTCGCTACAACATAAATAAATCGAACTACAGAAGCGACTGACAGCGATGACTTTCAAGCGACTGATGGAGTCACGTGACTCTCAGATCGCTACAAAAGTTGCGACTAATCGCCGCCATGAAAAGGTACCTTAATAGTGTATGTACGTAAGTAGCGTGTGTATTTATCATGAAATGATCGTGCGTGATAACAATGAATTGCACAGTAAAAGACTGTAAAAACTATTAATTTAATTATTATTTAATTTATAATATTTATTTTAATTAATGTAATTAATTTAACAAATAATAGAATCTTAATTTTTACGACCACATAATTGTTAAACAATAACAAGAAAGAAGGAAGCACAAAGCAAAGCCTATCACGGTCAAAGCTAGATCACGATGCTTATTATCATTATGCGTGAATTTTATATACCGCGTATATATATGTCTTTCAACATATTATTAAGATCTAATAAGATGCTATAAGCATCGAAATTTGTTAGATTGATTGTCAATTTAACTAAAGTGATATTACCGCGGTAGTTATTTAGAGTTGCGTTGTAAGTCTGAAAAAATTTTCGGCACGCGATTAGGGGAACTACATATACACGGTATATAAAATTTACACATAATGATAATAAGCATCGTGATCTAGCTTTGACCGTGATAGGCTCTGCTTTGTGCTTCCTTCTTTCTTGTTATTAATTAATTTAATTATTAAATTATTAAATAATTTAATATAATAATAAGATTAATTTTTGTTTATTTCATACAAGTTTATTTCATACTTATAATTAATAAAATATTACTTTTATACAATTTTTCCGTCCAAAATAAACTTTACATATACTTAAACATATACTTTGTATCTCACATCTCAGTAAAGTAATTCATATTAATGTATTACAAAAAATTCAATAAAAGATTATTTTTTATGCTGACACTTATAAATAGTAAAATAGTAATTTTTTATAATGCGCATTGCAAAGAAATTATAATAATTTCGAAATTACCGCGTAATGATGATGTAACTTGGTGACAATTCTGATTGGCCATTTGACAGTCACGTGATTTATCGATGCGCAAGAGCATACCCTTGTCTTTATATCATGACATGTATAGCATACGTTAATTTTGAATATATGATTGTTAATAATTTTTTAACGGAGGATGAGCAAAGGCTAAAACCTCCTGTTGAAGGTTACTCAGGGTCGTGACCTTGATAACATATGTCAAGGTCAAGGTCATCGGTGCTGCCTCCCCTATTTTAAATAATTACCCAAAATTTATATATATGTAAATTTATATATAAATTTTGCATTACTTTTTTGATACAATTTTAAATTCTAAATTTTTTACAGCTGACTCGAATTAATATTTTGTTGCTAACAAGAATGAATTGAATAAAGAAGAGGAAGCAGAAGTAGTAGTAATAATAGAAAAAGAAAAAGAAGAAAACATGTTATCTGATAACTTAAAATGCTTAGAAACAAAGAAACCGCCTCCTAATTGGTTCATTGCACAGGAAGTAATAAATCGACAAATAGGTAGTAATCCGTTATTCCAAAGAAGATTTTATAGTTCTTTACATGCAGTAAATCGACTGGAGTTTAAATACAAACTCTGTGATCTTGAGGTAAATTATTTATTTTGTTACATGTTGACTTATTATATACAATGTTTTATACATTACTTTTAGATCATTATTATAGATTTTTTAAATCATGTATAGCGATACGTATTAAAATTTGGTTATTATTTATAGGATACTGTGAGCGCCTTAAGTTTCAATCAAAAAGGAAATTTATTAGCAAGAGCCTCTGAAAAGACAGTTTCTATTTGGGATTGGGCTGCAAAGAAAAAGCGTTGTTGCTTTCCAAATGGCCATGACATCCTAATAGAGGTATGTATTGTATTATATAATAATAAAGTATTGCTATTTGAATGTTTTGTAATAGTTATTCTGATTTAATTGTATTTTTTTATTAATCTTTTTAATTTAATCGTATACGTGTTTAGGCCAAATGGCTGCCTTTAGATGTAGAAAACTTTATGGTCACTTCTGGTTACGATGGTTGTATACGTTTATTAGATCTTGAATATAATTCATCGAGACAGATGATAAACTATGATTTATTATTTCATCCGACCCATATAGATCGAAAGAATAACTGGGCATTGGCTGTGCATCCTGAAATACCCTATATCGTGTTTTCTGCTTATAACGATTCGATTTTGTCCATAGATATTCGGGAGAATACACCAAAGTAAGTCATTGTTATTAAAAAGTTCACACGTAATAATGTTTCTTATATATTCTTTGTTTATAGCATGCAGAATGTCTACATATAATATTAATTTCTTTTGTACCAAAAATCGTTGTATTGGCTGTGTTCAGCAGACTCAACAGTTTCGCAACCGTTTTATAATTCGTCTCGCTGATTGGATTATACTTTTAGATCTAAAGAAATAGTCCTATCTCAACGAAGAGTCATAAAATAGTTATAAAACTGTTGAGTCTGCTGAACGCGACCATTGTCTGGTGTTAAATGTAGCACGGGATCCTCCTGTATACTTATATGCGAATCAATCTTATTGTGATTGAAAGATGACTGGATCGTTATGACAGCTATAGCCCGGTTCAACCAAAGTAATATTGATTTATTCGTTGAATATTATTCAACTTACTGTTAATCTTTTCCTAATTCTTATAATTGTTTCTGTTTTTTTAATTCCAAAAATTAGAAAAACAGGAACAATAAGATAAACCGAAATTTACTTATATTGTTTGCACCGGAGCTAATGCCTATTTTTAAAATGTAAATTAATTTTAATCTTGGTTCAACTTATACTTTGGACAAGAAAAAGTGATAAGAATCTTATTGAACCGTACATTTGAAACTCAACAAACAGAAAATAGGATATGCTGGCATAAAAGATCCAGATTCAACAAAAAAAGTTAAAACAAAATAAAATTTAATCTACGTTAATTAGTAAAAATGAACATAAGTCGATTAAATTCTACATAGACACAATACGCAATACTAAATTTTGACAATATTCAATACTAAAGACAGTCAATATAAGAACATAACTAATACAAACACGAAGTCTACAACAATCTAGCTTGGATCTTTAATTGCTTACATATACCGCGGTACTATCACGAATTAAAACAAATGAATAATTAACTAATATACGTAGTCCTCCCAAACTGCGTGTCAAACAATCTTTGGTCTTGAAACGCAATTCTAATAATCTGGAAATACTAAATCTGGAAATAATTCTTATTGTGAAAAATATTACCTTGGCCGGGAGTCGAACTCGGATACCTTGCTTTACGCGCAAGTGTCTTAGTCAATTAGACTACCGAGGCCTTATAGTAATATTCCTCGCAATAATTTATTTTAATTGGTGATAATACCGCAGTAGTTTATATGTAAACAATTAAAGATCCAAGCTAGTCTGTTATAGGCTTCGTGTTTGTATTAGTTATACTAATAAATTTTTAGTTTACATGATAAAAGTGTTTATTTTTATTTTGTACACACATGTTATATATATCTACTATAATATATATATATTTTCATATCCATAGATTGCTTGATATAAAAAACCTTCGAAATAGTATACTAAGAAGTATACATTGTAATCCTTCTAATAGTAATGAATTTTGTGTCGGCGGTCATTTTCCCTGCATAAGGGTGTATGATCAGCGAAATATTTCGAACCCACTTTATCAATTGTGGACGACCAAGTATAACAGGGTATGTATTAGTTTGTTTCAACCCTATTACTGAAAAGCTTATCAATATTTAAAGAAATACTACAGTGTTTATGTTTTTTACATGAGTTTTAATTAAATATGTAATTTAAATGTATTATATATAGAAGAATCGTGACGCCTTTGCAACAATCACCATATATAATCACGATGGGACAGAGATTCTTACATTGTGTAATTTGTCCGAAATATTATTATTTGAGAAGTCAATGTGGTCATGTGAAGGAAATTCGAATCATACATTATATGAACGCTCTCAATTTAGTTCTGTACCTGGTGAGATGGACGAGAGACGTGTTAAATGTAATTACATTATTATTATATTCCCGGCATCTTACTTTTTTTTATCTTTAGAACTCTTTACTTTATGTATATTTCAAAAGAGAAGAAGCATACAGTAACATTATTCAATGGTTTATTTGTTAATTAATTTTTATTCTGAGATTGTTATGCTTATTGTTTAAAAATTTTTTTATGTACATTTTTTATATTTTTTTCGTCTATGTAATTGAAAAAGCGACGCTTTAAATAATTATAATATGATTTATTAATAGTAGATATTAAGTTAATTGTCTCAGTTAAGTGTTGTGATTGCAGTTGTAGGAGGAATCAATTTTTTCGGACCTAAAAGTGAATTTATTATATCTGGATCCTATTTTGGTGATATATTCATTTTTGACAAGAAAAAAAAAACTGCGCTACAGTGGTTGACAGAAGATTACAAATTCGTTAAGTGTTTTCGTTTTGTGCATTTAATAAACAAATTTTTCTTCTTCGTAGTATGTGTTGCACAAAATAACTTTTATTCATTTAATGTATAGGTGGGTTCTCAGTATTGCGTAGGTCATCCCCATATTCCTATCCTTGCAACGGCAAGTAAGTCCAATGTCCTGATATGGATGCCTTCGGGTAATGAAGATCCAACAGAATCAACATTTAAGACTGTATGTATAGACAAGAATTATCTGTGTGTTTTTTTTGCATTTTCTTTTTCTTGCTTAATCATATAATTTAATAAATAAATAACATAATTTTTAAAATAACGTCACTAAAATAAGCAATATAGTTGAATACAATAGATTAGTGGTACCAATAAACCATAAAATTATGATTTATGCATTTCCTGTTCTTCACAAGTATATCAAGTTCAGTAGAATAGAAGGCAAGCATATAACGATTTCTTTTTCCGATTACTTGCATTACAAAGATATATTTGTCATAGAGAGTTTGTGAAAGTAAGTTTGTTCGCCTTATTCACATTTTTTACACTAAGCATTTTGTCTTCTTTCTCTTCACTCACACACACCCACACGCACGCACTACGTCCAATATATATCAGGAAATGGAAAATTACTCTTTTTAAAATTATTAAGTTACAGTTACTCGTTATAGAGTTAAAAAAGTAACGAGTTACCGTTACTAATTATCGCTTTTTAAAGTAACTCATTACAGTTACCGTTACTCAAAAGGTAACTTTTCGTTACGTTTCCGTTACTTTTTAAAAATTAGTCTGAAAATGTACTTTTGCAGTATTTTTTGTTCAAACGTTAATAAAAGCAATATATACATATATAGCATGTATAACACTGACACTATGTATAGTTTTATTTTTTAGTTTTTTTTTAAACACAATTTTGTAATTGTAAAACCTGTAAAATATGCAGCAAAAACTGAAATATACATATGTTCGATGTATCACATAGAAGATAGAAGTGCAAAATAATTTCTGAAATAATGATACTGTATATATTTCTTGGCTATCAAAGATCACTTCAGGATCGCTACAGCAGTTGACAACTATGTTAAGATATTTCAGGAATTTTTTTATACTTTTTAGAAAACTAGAAGATTATATAGGATTGTATAGGACTATCTGAATTACAATATAAGTTAGAAATTAAAAGGAAAATTAAGAAGTACACATAATCTATATTACAGCTATATTTTTACTTAATTTATACTTTTAGCTGTAAATCAATTATTTTGATAGAAAGAAAATTATAACGCTATAATTAAAATATATAACAAAAGTTTTGTAAAAAGAGCTGTTTTGCAATTGCTCGACATAAATGTACACAGAAATGTACAGAGTAAAGTTACACAGCTCAATTAGAACAAATGTGTACGATGTTTAGATTAAGTTAAACTAAATGCTTGTACGCCTGTATTAAATAAAAACATTCAATGTACAACTACATTTATAGCTGTCATAATTAATAACATGTAATTGTTGTGGTATGACAAAATAACGTGTCCAATCGTATGCAAAGTAATGATAAAAGTAACTGTAAATTTCGTTACCGTTATCCAAAAAATGTAACTACGTTGCAGTTACCAAAAAAAAAGGAAGTGATGCAGGTACCAGTAATGTTACCAAAAAAATAACTTGTAACTAACTTCGTTATAAGTAACGAGTTACTTCCGTTCCTTGATATATATTTATCTCATTTTAAGTGTAAAAGTATAAGCAGTGTAAACAAGACAAACAAACTTATTATTGTGTCATAGATATGTCGATATTAAATTGACTATTTTGTGTCTTTTCTAGTATATTCGTCAACAATACCCTGGTATAGATAATTTTGTCGAAAGTGATTCTACCGACGATGACTACAATTATTCTACCGACGATGACTACAATTCTTCTACCGTCGATGTTGACGATTAGTATAATTTGTATAATGATAGTGATTATTCTGACGATTCTTACAGTCAGTCGGAAGACATCTTTGGATTAATACTCAATGAGTAATATGTATACAGGGTGTAGGAAGGAAATACATATATTACTTTAAATAAATATTGCGAAGAATATTACTACGTCGACCCGCCGTCAGAGGTCTATAGATATTCGCAAAAATTCTCGCAAGTGCTTTGATACGCGTATATCTGTATATATAGAATCTCGATTTAATAACTTAAACAGGCGTTTAAGGTAGGCTTCCACTACAATATCTTACTGATGAGTCCAGTAGTGGAAGTTGGGACGAAACGCCATAATTACGTGATATTCTTCGCAATATATTAGATTGATTTAAAGATTTTAACGAAAATTGGCTCATTGCCCTAGTATCTTTATATTAGTTGTTTAATACATATTGAGCCTTATTACAAACATTTACTCTTATTAAACTTTCTTGTAACGTCAACCAGTTGCGAGATATTTGCTTCGACACTTATGGACGGACGTCCGTCCATAAGTGTCGAAGCAAATATCTCGCAACTGGTTGACGTTACAAGAAAGTTTAATAAGAGTAAATGTTTGTAATAAGGCTCAATATGTATTAAACAACTAATATAAAGATACTAGGGCAATGAGCCAATTTTCGTTAAAATCTTTAAATCAATCTAATATATTGCGAAGAATATCACGTAATTATGGCGTTTCGTCCCAACTTCCACTACTGGACTCATCAGTAAGATATTGTAGTGGAAGCCTACCTTAAACGCCTGTTTAAGTTATTAAATCGAGATTCTATATATACAGATATACGCGTATCAAAGCACTTGCGAGAATTTTTGCGAATATCTATAGACCTCTGACGGCGGGTCGACGTAGTAATATTACCCCCCCCCCCCCAACTTGCGCGCCGAACATCTTCGGTCTTGAAACGCAACTCTATCTGAATATTCCCCCCAAATTGCGCGCCGAACTATCTTCGGTTTGAAACGCAACTCTAATAATCTGAAATAACGTCCCCTTAATTTACTTGTAATTTTAAACGCATTAATTTCGCCCGCGTAAATAAGAGTAATTTGTACGATTCCGAGTCACGAAGTATTGCGAACGGACCTTTATCGTAAGGAATACGTCAATTTCTATTTTTGTTACGATAGGCTTGTTCAACAATTTCAATGTCTCGATCCTATCCCGCTTTTTACGTCCCGCGCGGTGTTTATTGGGCCAAATCATCTATTTCCTAAATGAATTTATGAAACCTAGTTCCGAATTTGAGGAACCATGAATTATTTGAAGCGACTTAAGTAATTCGCATGTACAGTCTGTCTAATAAGAGCGTGGCAGGCCTATCTCAAACAAAAATGGCTTATTAGCCTTGAATTTATGTTCATTGTATTCAGTAGGATTATGGTCAAAATGTAATTATATTAATAAGGAGTCCAGCTGCGTCTATAATAGATTGGCACCTCCGAGTCATACTTTCCACTACAGTTTGTCTAGTAAGAGCGTAGCAAGGTTTACCCACTGTCGAGTAAAGATATACTTTGAATTTTTGTTTTTGCCGATAAGTGTCACCTTTGTGCTGCTTGCATTACAAGTAAAGTACCCGTTGTTGTTTGAATTGTGACAGAATAAACGATTTTCAAAATGAGTGCTGCCTACGAGTCTCGTTTCGAAGCAGGCTGTATCTCTTTTCTGACAACCTGACGAATGCTGAGAAAATGTTAAAAATATACCAAAAAGCTTAGATTCCATCTGCCCAACGCTGGATTATCAGTAAAAGTAAAGATTAGTTACTCCAGGATGATAATGATCTCAAACACCGAAGGTGGTTCTGCACGTCCTGGATAGTGGGAAATGACATCAAGACACTCCACTGGCCTTCACAATCACCCGATGCAAATCACCCATTGAAAATGTGTGGTCACTCGTCAATAGGAAGCTTCGTGGAAGACCGACTACATCAACTTCGAAGCGCTTAAAGGTATCTTAAAGACAATTAATCATATTGGTGATATTGGAAATAGCACTTACACACAGACGATTACGTCTCATTGACACATCACTACATCAATATCTTACTCACGCACGTCACATGTATACGTAGATTTTTGTATCGTAATTATGTTTTAATTAGACATCTAAATCTAATGTTAAGAACTCTACGCGCTGTTTCTTCATGCAAACTACATGCCTGTGGACTACTATTTCTTAAGTAGAGATTGCGCAGCTTTTATATAAAATAGCAAATGTTGTTACGACGTACAACGACGTGACAGCTCTAAAGCGCCATATTGGACTAAAAAATGGTAAAGAACTCAATTTTGAAATTTTTTATCGTTTTCAGTATAGATTCTACCTCACAGGCACGTATTAATGCGTATACTTTAATTCTGTAAAAGGATTTTCGAATCTGTGAATAACAAAAAAAATATTTACGATACAAAAATTATACGATTTAGTCGGTAAGGCTTTAGGATCCCCTCTTAAACAGTTATTTTTTTATTTTTTAAGAATATAACAACATTGAATAATAATATAACAATATCTTTTTGCATAGAGTTAGTACCCAATCGACACAAACTAAAAGTAACATATCGGCAATATTATAATACTCACAATGTAACTATTATGTAATACCGTATCTTATATTACATTCATATTGTTAAGTACAAAATTGATGTTATGTTACTTTTAGTTTGTATCGATTAGGTAGAGTTAATTATTATAAAGAATGTTGCAAAGCTTTTGGAGCCAACTCAACATAACTGGACGCATTTATACAAGGTGTATAATGAGAATTCGGATCAACATCGTTTGAAATAAGAAGACATTCGTTATCGAGTCCCATGAGATCTTGTCGAGGAGAATGTGCGGCAATTTCGTTGAGGAAATTATTCTGAGACATTACCCCACGAAATAGGTTAGTTCCGATGTAATTGAGACACAAAATAATAGCATGGAATAGTTTTACGCCGCCTTTCTTTGTATGATTCCTTTGCAGTAATGCTCAGTTATACCGACGACGTTTATTATGTCAAAATTAATCACATCATGCCCTTCATCCTTCATATCTTCCTTATTATTAAATTGAAAACTCTGATTTATAAAAACTGTTATATTATTTGATAGAAGATACTTTTTAGTTTGCGTTTCTATTAGCTTTCGTTTAAGAAATATAATTCAAAGGCAAAATGATATGATGATTTGTGTGTGTTGCTGAGTATCTATCAGCCGTAAACTTAAATTCTTAGGAAGCGAATCATGGCTCCCTTTCGTGCTTAAATCGAGACTTAACATTAAACCAATGTGAAGTGGATACGCGCTTCGCAGGTTACGCTCGGAGTAGCGTAACACGTAAGCGCATTTAGACGCGGATTACCATTAAGTAAACGCAATTTAACTTTCGGAATGTCACGTTTAATCGACTCGCGTTGATACTGTATGCTTGCCGTCGAGGCGTGATTCATTTCAAGATGCATCGTCAGCTAATTAGCATCTATATGTATATGCATATCCTTCATTTCTGATTTGTTTCATTTTCGCAGTATGGTAACTCGGTAATTACGAACGACTAGCTAAATGCTGTTATGCGGTCCTGACTGTGTAATTATGTCGGGCATTCTGCAGGCACACGTACTGAGTGTACTTCCGTATGGATTTAACGTTGATACGGAATTTCACTCGCATATTGCTAACCCCGCCGGTTTCTGGAGTTGGCCGTCGCGCTGTGGGAACCTTCCGCATACGATTTAAACTGCCCCAAATCCTGGATATAATCCATTTAGGGCCGCCTGCACCAACGTCGCTTAGAGCTAAGTTCAATTAAGTTAATTAAACTTTCCTCCTTCTATCTATACTATAGGAAATATTGTACTACAAATTAAAAAATGATAGTAAATCACTATTATAAGCTGAATCTACTCGATCCAAATTATTTCGCTGAGATTGGGATTACATTTTTACAAATCGACATCGAACTAATTAACAAATATGTTTGCACACAAAGTTTGATTCGCTATTCCATTATCGGAAATGTATATAATTAGAGATGTAAAAGAAATTTAGTTTATTTTATATGTTATTATTATAAAATTGTGGTTATATATAAATCCAGCTATTAACTAATGTCAGTAGTTTCGTGAGTATTATATAATTATCAGAAGAATCCTGTGAGAAAATTTTAAGAATATCTTTAACATATACGTTGAAATATGTATGGATTCGTAAATATTCGAACGTACTGATATTTGCTTCCAATACCGCTCTTTGAGTAATTCCATCGGCAATGGCTATCGAGGATTCCCGCGTTCCTTCCCCCCTCAAAATCCCCGACATCAGCTAAAGCATTTTCCTTATTCGAGTGGAACGACGACGCGCCATACAAATCCACGTAATTGAAATACGAGTGTGGTCGAGCGGGTAAGAGGCGTTTTACAGTTTTCGGTCGACGAAACGACTTCAGTTTGTCGTTCTCCCGAGAGTAATACTTATAAATAAATTCGACCCTTTCTTTTTTACTGTTTGTCCCCGGAATAGATATATATGCGGGAAAGAGACGCGCGTGCGAAGGTTAGCCGATAAAAACTGAAACAGAGAGTCGACGAGAGTCGTAAAGTCCGCAAGGGAGAGAGATGAGAACATCCGCCGATAAAAGGGACTCGTTTTGCTTTAACTCATGTTAAATTTGGGATAAATCTTGACTTCCTACATATTCTGATTCTTTTCTTCTCCTTTCTTCGCACGCAATTTTTTTTTTAAAGGACTAAACGATTACGACTGCATACAACTTCTTTTTTTATCGACACTTTTGATAAGAATTGCGTTCAAAAATGGTCCCCTCGCTTCTCGACTGCTTATACGAAAACTTTAACGATTGCGAATGATATATTAGATTAAGTCTATATTTTTTTTATTGGAGAAATAATAGTTATTAGTATCAAAAAATGGAAAGTTTTTAAAAGTAACTTAATTACCGTTACGGTTAC